CACAAATCATTTGAAGAGCTGTAGCTTTTATGAAGAAATTGCTCAGACCTGGTTTCGCGGGTCCGGTATCGATGGTCCTTCATCAGAGAGTTTGTTCCGGTTTTGTAAGAAGGGCAACCCAATATACTGGTCCCGATGCGCTTGCAAAGGCTCCAGCTTTTTACGATCCAATGATGCGCCAATGTTACTCATCAAACAGATTTCCACTTTGACGCCATCAACTGGTACCGCGATCAGAAATTCGTTCTGTACAACGTCTCTTTTCGATCAAGGTGAGCAATCGGTGCCCTCACCGGATCTTCTTGTTGGCGGTGTTGCCAGCTGCACACTTCAGGAGCTCTTGCATCGAATGGATGGCTCTCACGTCCATGCTCGAGGTATGGATACCCTCAAGGAAGTCCTGGACGATGGCGTAGAATTGCAGTGCCTTGCAGAAGTTCTGGACGATGCCAATTGACTGCGGGTAAAAAGTGAAGGATCAGCTGCGCAGTTCATTCACTTTGCTGATGAAAGAAACTGCTAGGAGCTAAGTTTTTCTTGAACACAACCTCTTGCAAGGGTCCCCTCTACAGCAGTGAGCTGCAACATACGCTACGCAATCTGCAAACCCTGTCGGATGAATGTGCGTGTAACTTTCAACCAACTTGAGCCCGCAGTCAAGCGCACCCAATCTTGGCACACTCAATTGAAGAGTGTGCAGACAGACCATAATACCCCCAGTGATGCCAGGAGCTTGCGTGCGCTCGACACTTACCATTTCATCCTGATCGTTCAGCTTTTCGACCAGATCGACAGCCAAGGAGATCCTGTCCACCGTAATCCGAGGGCCTGATGCCCACAGCGGCAGCGTACTGCCGCCCAGTTTTTTGAGGACCGCCGCAGATCTGGCGGGAGCCCAATCTCCATCGTCTCGCCCATATCCGTGTTGGATACAGAAGTGCTGCGCCAGCAGAGAAGAAGCTTGAAGTTTGCAAGCGTTTGCCTCAATCAATCCTGAAGTATGCCTCCGATAACCTGCCTTTGGAGGTCAAATCTCTAGCAAAGGGCGACGTTCTCGGACTACTGAAACAGAGAAGCTATATCTAAAAAAGCTCGTTGGCTGGATCAAGCTTTGGCGGGATGACCTTTGAACCTCAGCTTAAGAGAAGCTTCATATAAAACCCTGGAGTTCTTTAGAAACCTCAGAACTTTCTACTATGGCTAACCCAGGCGCTGGTCCTGACTTTCTGTACAAGTACGCCTACATAAGCAGGCTTGTGCGCGGCGACAAAAGCGCAGGAAAAAAAAGTTCGAGTCATCCATCCTGTGTTGAAATGTACAACAATTGATGTACAAATTACCTTATAAGTCTTTAGGCCTCGAATGTAGTCCTTTTTGCTCTTCGGCTTCAGATTGGCGTCCTTCTTTATTGCAGCATTCCAACGGGCGTCAGCAACGTGCCTTTCCCGAGCTCGCTCCTCCGTCTCCTCTTCGACGCACTCCGGATTCTGCTCTCTTCCGGGAATTCCTTGTGTTTCCGCATTGTCTCCATCATGTGCGTCAGCATTCCCCTCGGACCCCGGCCGACTGCCATGCCCTTCCGAGGGCCTCGCGACTAGCGCTGCGTCAAGGATACTCGTCCCACTTTTCCGGCCAGCCCCTTGCTTCCGGCTGCCCGCTTGTCTCCAGGAACCCAATCCTCTGCCCCTACCACGCCCCCCTCGGTTCCGGTTTGAGCGCTGCGCAACTCCTGTCTGGGTAGCTGAGTTAGGCGCCAGGGGTGCCGTAACCTCGGCAAGAGGCGTGGCGGCAGTTGTAATAGCAGCCGGTTGAGCTGGTTGCTCGGCCGAACTTGGTGGTGCCCATTGGGACTGGCAGTCGACGGCGAGGTGTCGACACTGCCTGCATGTTTCAAGAAGACCCTTGGTCAGCTTAGTGTCGATTGAAGCGAATGTCCTGTTCAACGGTATTTTCAGAGGGAGTCGGCTCTCTATGAACGACAAAAGAGAAATCGGTCGAACGGGATAGGATGCGTTAAAGGATGGTAAAACGCACGAAGTGCTCACGAATCAGAGTACTAAAAGGGGAACGAGCGATTGCTATGGGGATGTTGAGAGGGCGATGAGAAGAAGGGTGACGGAGAAAAATCAGGGGCCCTAGGTAGAGAGGACCAGAAAGGAAACAAGAAGTGCGGCCCCGGAGTTGCTAAGGGTGCCGGTTGGTGGTGACCGATTCCTGTAGATCTTGAGTTGCATGCCGCCGTAAAGGAGAGCTTAAGAAGGTAAACGAGAGCTTACGAAAGGACGAAAGAGCAGATCAAACCGGAATCACCAAGAAAGAATGCAGTTTGATACCCAAAAGGATAGGTCGTAGATCGGAGCTCAAGGGAATGACAAGGAGGTGTCACGTGGCAGGCCTTGGGCGAAGCGAATTATTCGAAGCCTCGAGCCGATCGAAGCTTGATCACGGCAGATTCCGAATGCAGTAAGACCAGATTACCTGGACGGACTTGGCCTACGTCGTGCGAAGAAGACTCGGCGACGCTATTCCTGCCACGTTGCCCACCTCGCGAAGTCCTGCTTCTTGCATTCTCCGCCTGCCAAGTAGGAAGCGTCGACATGGGCGATGCTCTTGATTGTCTTGAGCGAGCTGGATCGCCGACAGTAGCACGTAAAATCAGAGGCTCGTCCTCGGACTCACAATCGTCTTCGACAAGACCTGTAAGAAAGTCACATGGGTCAGTTGAAGGGGTCAATTTTTCAAAGGCGGCCTGTCAACTCAACTCAACAAGTTACCGTAATCTCAGATGTTGCTCCATTGACCTGAGCAATCAGCGGGGTAAGCAAGGCACTGAGCGGTCTTTATAAGTTTTGAAGAGAACAAAAGTTGGGTTAACAATCAACCTCCGAATCCAGCTCAGCCCTCACGGTTTGAACTTATGTTGTTGGTGAAGAAGCGTGGAAAGCTGAACCTTCGTGAATCGAGGCAAGCAGTAAAAGGTGAGTTCGTATCTGCATGAAAGCTGCAGATTTGTATAGCTTTCTTAACACTTCGTCCTTGCGCTCAAGTCACTCTCAACTGAAAGCAGTGACCGGGTCCAGGACAGGCCTGCTATGAAGACAGCCAGCCTTCACAGAAGCTCCGGATGGACACTTTTAAAGAAAAATAAACTGAAGAAAGTAGTTACAATAATTGATCAGAGTTCACTGTCGAACGTGCTTGACAAGCTTCAGTACAGCTATGACCAGATGCATTGCTCTTCACTGCATGAAAACTGTGGTCGATAGATCCGTGGATGCCTTCGATCGTTCCGCTGAAAAAGATCATATCCCTCTCTTAAGAAGACGTGCTCACAGGCAAGAGCTTACCGTCGACTCGCGCCTGCTCCTCTGTAAGGGCTGGCCCGGGATTCGTCTCAACATTCCCGCGAAGCAGGAGCATTTCTGCCATAGCACAGCAGTTTTTGGTGTTAGCGAGCTTCGCAAGTACATTGTTGAGTCCTTTGCGAATGATAGCATTAATTGCTCACTAGGTTAGATATGAGTGCCGCGTTTGCCTGACTTAAGCAACGGGACAAAGTGGAAAGGCAAAAGATCAGTCACTGGTCTTGAAAGCATCCAAAACGATAAGGACACTTTTTTAAGAACGCCGCTTCCAAACAACGAAGTACTTCAGCAAATGACACGGGGCTCAACACAAGATTGCGAAAGTCAGAGCCCACGTATTTCGGCCGAGGGTCACTTGAGCTCACCAATGAGCGCTCTGCTCAAAACCTGCTTGATGCCAATGTCGATTTGAGCCACACCCTGCCCATGGCATCTCTGACCCTCGTCAAAGCACCCCCGCAAGGGTGCACAACTGGCCCAGCCTGCAACAAGGATTTGAGCGTCATTGGTCGCCTTCTTACCCGCCATATTGGCCCTTTTCATTGTTCAATAACGTCCAGTTAACAACTGCATGTCGAAAACCTTGCTCTACTACGTCTTTTGCGGCTTCCTGCGATTCCATCACTGATAGTGATATCAAAAGACTGAATGGACCATCCGCTGCACAACCCCGGAGAAATCCAAAGGCCCCGTTCGTATCAAACGAAAGGCGAAACGACATGGAGTGCTCACAAAGGACGTTCCGAGCTGGCGCCAGCGCGTCTTGAATAAGAGATGCATGCAGCTCCTGAACCTTTCGAAGGTGCTTCTCTTCTTCTTGCTCCGCCGCTCGGAGCTCCTCCTTCAGTTGGCACCTTCGTTGTTCACGGCGCTTGAGCCATTCTGTACGGTTTCAATATCCTTTCAATATCCAGTCGACCTATAAGGGGCTATCAAAATTCTGTGAACTGTGACGTGGCAGCTCACAAGAAGGTGGACCTTTGGAGAATCGGAGTGCTTGGCAGGTCATAGACTGTTGGCTTCGGAAAATACATCTCACCCTAGTCTGCTGTACATAAAGCGTTGAAATGAAAGAAGAACTTTCTGTCACACTTAATGCTTGCTATTTGAGAAAACATCGTTTTGCACTTGCATTTATAAAGATGAAGGTGGAGAAGAAGCAACTCACGACCAAGCAGAATAAGAAGCCCGAAAGGGCCAGCGCTGACATATAAGAGAAGAGAAGGGAAAGCCACCAAAGAATAAGAACAGGTCAACACGATGCAATGGCAGCTGAGAAGAGTACGAGTCTCATTACCTTCCCAGCTCTTGTGGACAGAGAAGTATCCAACGGACGCCGCGCTCAGTGCTCCAGCGGGCACTCGATCCTGGTGTGCTTTGCAGCACCACTCGATAGCCCCCCCCTTCTTGCCGCCACGGCGCCCGCAAACTGCTGCAAGCTCGCAACTGTCGCACTAGATGCCATGGTAATCTGCATTGGCACCGTGTCAGATCAGGGAGCGGCTGCTGGGATCAGTCCCGTGCAAGTATACTGATGTAACGG